TCCACTCTTGGCTTTGCAGGGGCCCAGCTGGAGTAAGAGCCCAAGCTCTGGATCGAGATGGAAATCTGATAGAAGATTTTGTATTTGATGGAGGAGTTGGGATTATTGGAAATCGCGTTCTTCATGTGAGAAATGCACCGTCCCCGGCTGCTACTTCTTCCCTTGCAATTTCTGGAATGATTGCAGATGAAGTGCAACAAAGATTTAAATTGTAAATAGTGAAAGAGCTAGCTATGGATTTTAATTTCCGCATTCAGCAACATCCACAAAGAATGTACTAATTACATTCTTTTAATTTAAAAAACATGGTTTGAAAATAGCATTTTTAGGTACTTCATGTGATAACCATTGAATTGTTAAGCTTATGTAAAATAAAAATAATTTGTTAAAGTCCACACTCTTTTGCTTTGTGAATAAAGAGGAAAGATACATTTGTATCTGTCCTGAATCCCTCTCTTTTGTTAATGACCTGTCCTCACCAACCATAATCTAGAAATTTAACTCTTAAAATTTGGGGGAATGATGGCATAAAAAATTGCCTATTCCCTTAACTTTTTGGGTTTGTAATATATAAACTTTTTGTCTCTTGTAGACAAGAAAATATATTGTAGGTTGCAGACCTTTTCATTTTGAAGTCTTCGAAAAGCCCACATTTAGAGCAACAATATTTGTATTTGGAAATTACTGACTTTGAAAATACATGAAATTTCACATTTTTAAAGTATTAGTTTGAATATGATTCTACTGAGCTGTAGTATTTGGAGAGAGACTCAAAGCCTTTTGTGTTCCCATTCTCTTTATAACTGACTTGGTGTGGTGTCATCACCAAAAGAAAACAGCAGGACACTATGAATGGTTGTTGCCAACTTGTCAATTTTCTGTGGTTGGGAAACTGGAAGAACATAGAACTGATACGTTTTTATGAGAGCAGTTTTAGAATCCTGGCACTGATACACAGAACTCTGTAATTCAAAAAATTATTTACCTCTTATATCTCTACTCTTCATCTTATATCTCTACTCTTCAGTTATACCAAGGTTCTCACATGTTAGCCATGATCACTAATGATTCATGCTGACTTGGTTTTCCAGGGATCCTATAAACTTTTATGAGGATATTTCTTCATTTTTGCAAATTACCTGACTCTGAGGCATTCGCTTTTGTAAACCGCAAAAGTGCCTTACATTCACGTGTACTTCATGGGTATTTTAAATTGTTGGCCAGTGCCATACTGTACATTATATGCTGTATATATGTGTGTGGTATCTGTTGAAATGATTCTTGCAATTCAGAAAGTTGGAAAATAGAAATATAAATGAAAATAAGGCAGCCTACTGATTGGGAAAACTTTTATTACAGAACCACCATTTAAGTGAAATATTTTCTTCCATTCCCTCATATGTACTCTCTCAGGAATAATCACGCTCTCTTTGTTTTTTTCTTTCCTTTTATAACTCCAAAGATATGTGATGGATGAGTTAGAAATTATGTGCATTTTGGCTGATAGAAGAAGCTTTTCTGTTTTTTCCTTTTCACTTCAAGTGTTTGTAATTAAATTGATTGAACTACCTCATCCATTAACTTGAAAGGATACACATCATCCATTCCTGTTCAAGAAACAGCACAACCCAGGTAAATAGACGAGGCAATTATTCAGAACTTGGAGTGGGCATATTTAAAGCATTCAGAAATCATTCGCGGAAGAAACAGGCCCAAATGGTTCTTCATAACGACTGATTCCTCCAAGAATGTGACACACAGGATATTTTTCTGTTGCATTATAAGACTGTTAAGAAATGGAAAATATTACAATACTCTATTTCACTAACAGTAAGATTGCATATGCACTAAGCTGTGAAAAACACTGAAATTACAAAAGTAACTGTCCTAATTAAAGCAACCCTTATTCCATCTGGGACTATGCTATACCTCCCAAAAATGTAAGTGAAAACATTGCCGAAAGTGTTTTAAATGTGTAGGATATTATATTTGTGAAACATTTTTGTATTATGTCAATAGGGTGTTATTGTGTAATACCAATATATTTTAAAGTTTTGTGTATTTTCGAGAGAAGAAAATGTATATTAATATTAAAATATTTTAATGAGCCTTGGTGTTGTAAATATAATTTGTAGTTTTATAAAAAGTGATTCAAATGTTTTGTGTGTAAAACTTGAACTATCGTAGCTTTAGGTAGCAGCCAATCTTTAAAAAATTTCTGTATTTGTGTATAATACAGACATGAGGTGAAGTAGTTTACATTTTGGGTAAAAAGTGGAGCACTTCTCCACTTACAAAAATGGCTTTCTATCTAATAGTGGTGGCAATATCCGGCTGACTTCAGTGTCATCTTCATACCCCAGAGCACCAGGGGACATTATTTCTGTTCGATAGCAGAATGTAGGAGTATGCAGCATATAAACACAACACTTTCCGGGGGGCTGGGGGGAGGGAGTTCAATAAATAAGTTAATCTTTTGGAAATTTATCGAAAATTATAGTTCTTGGGAAGACATTTTTGGTATGCTATCTCTTACAGGGGGTTGGGCTTCTGGGCACGAGCCTCCCGTTACAGGGCAAATGATTCTGAATACCCACTCCAACTTCTTGATGACAAATACTGTAAGGGAAACAAAGTTAGCTACAGCACGAACCTTGAAAGTGAGTGACGATGACATTTATTGTTTCCTGTGGTGTTGCTTTGGTTTGCTACTGACTGGCAGCACTTGTAGCTTTAAATAAATTGAGGAAGAAAGAGCACACAAGAGAAGTGTTGAGTAAGATCTCAAAATGTTTTCAGTGCGAGAATATTAGTGGTAACATTTTAACTGCCTTTTAAAATCTGAGATGTGTTTGGGTCATTCAAGTTATCTCCCAAAAACCATCCTAAATTTTAAACAAGCAAAAGTACTATATCAAATTATTACTAGGATAGCATTAATCTTAACTCAAATTTATGGCTGAGTTTTTGTTATACATCTGCTCTCCTTACAGTATCAGTGTGTTTTAATAGTTGCATTTTTTAACATTTGAAGCAGGTACTTAGGATGAGGTTAGAATTTTTTTATTTATTTTTAAAAATATACTTTATTTATTATGCTATTAGAATTGTCTCATTTTTTTGCTCCCCTTTATTACCCTCAGTGCTGTGTCACTCTCCTGCCGTCATTTCCCCACCTTAGTTTATGTCCATGGGTCATACATATAAGTTATTTGGCTTCTCCGTTTCCATACTATTCTTAACCTCCTCCTGTCTATCTTGTACCTACCTACCATTTATGCCTTTTTTAAAAAGATTTTATTTATTTATACTTAGAGGGGAAGGTAAGGAGAAACAGGGAGATAAATGATGTGTGGTTGCCTCTGCAACCCAGGCATGTGCACTGACTGGGAATCAAACTGGTAACCCTTTAGTTTTCAGGCCTGTACCCAATCCACTGAGCTACACCAGCCAGGGTCTACTTATGCTTCTTATTCCCGGTACCTTTTTCCTCCTTCTCCCCGCTCCCCCTCCCTTCTGATAACCCTCCACGTGATCTCCATTCTGTGATTCTGTTCCCATTCTAGTCGTTTACTTAGTTTGTTTTTATTTTTCCAGGTTCTGTTGTTGATAGTTTTGAGTTTGTTGTCATTTTACTGTTCATATTTTTTATCATATTATTTTTCTTAGATAAGGCCCTTTAACATTTCATATAATTAGGGCCGGGTGATGATGGACTCCTTTACTTTGACCTTATCTGGGAAGCGCTTTATCTCCCCTTCTATCCTAAATGATAGCTTTGCTGGATAGAGTAATCTTGGATTCAGGTCTTTGCCTTTAGCAACTCTGAATACTTCTTTCCAGCCCCTTCTTGCCTGCAAGGTTTCTTTTGAGAAATGAGTTGATGCAACTCTTATGGGGACTCCTTTGTAGGTAACTATCTCCTTTTCTGTTGCTGCTTTTAAGAATCTCTTCTTATCTTTAATCTTGGGTAATGTAAGTGTGATGTGGCTTGGTGTGTGCTTTATAAATTATATTTATATATAATATAAATGTATGTTTATTATATATTAAATATATTATATTATATCAATATATATTAATATATTATATATGTTTATTAAATATAATAAAATATACTACCTACATTTTTACATAAGTGGTAGCATACTCTGAATACTATATTATACATCTTGCTTGTTTCATTTTGTAGTGTACCTTTGAGAATGTTCATCTCAAGTGGCCTGAACACAGCAACCTGATTCTTTTAAAATGACTGCATAGGTTCAATTTTATGGATTTACTGGGTTTTTTTTTCATTGTTGTTGAACCAGTCCTTTATTCTTACAGATGATTATTTAAATATTTTGTTTCTAGAGTGTTTTTGTTTTGTTTTTGCTTTAACAATACTACGATAAATAACCTTGTGCTGTCATTTCACATTTGAGTAATTTATCTATAGGACATATTCCTAGAATTTGTTGTGTCAGAGGGTATGTGCCTTTGCAACGGTCACAGGTATTCAGTTGCCTTTGATGGAGGTTGAACCAGTTTACAGTCTCATCAGTAATGTATTGGGGTACCTGCTTTCCCCAAAGCCTGACCAACACAGTGTATAATCAAACTTTATGATTAGTGCTATTCAAATAGGTAAAAGTAATAGTATAATTTAAATTTGCATTTTTCATAATATGACTGAAGTTGAGCATCTTTACTGTGTTTGAAACATTTATATTTCCTTTTCTGTGAACTATCTTTTCCTATCCTTCATCCTTTTTTTCTTCCTGAGTTTTAGTCGCTTTAATTTATAGGAGCTCCTTTACATACTAGGGAAACTTACTCTTTAGGAAATGAGTTGCATGTACTTTTTCCAGTTTGTCATGTTATTTGCCTTAGCTTGTGGTATTTTTTTTGCACATTTAAAAAATACAGTGTATCAATCTTCTAGATTTTATATCTTAGTAGAAAGGTGTTTTGCACTCAGAAATTATAAACAAATTATTCTATAGTTTTATTTTTTACATATAAATCCTTGACACATCTGGAATCCATCCTGGTGTAGAGTGTGGGGGTATAGATCCAACATTTTTGTCTAAATGGCCCATTTTTCTGGTTGGGAAACTCTTTATTGGTGTCATTTCTTGGATTATTCTCAACAAGCATGTGGATCACTTTCTGTCCCTTGCCCAGAGATCACAACTGAGATGCCTGTGGAGATAAGGCAGGTTACAGAAAAGGGTGAAGAGTGCCAGGTGGGGAATATAGCCAAATGGAAATCAGATGGCATATTTTTCTGAGGAGGGCAGCCACTTCTCACCACCTGCTGATTATTATTCCCTTGAAAGAATGCAGCAGTGTCCAGTGTTAGCGGATCTTTGTCAAGATAAGCAGAAATTCCAGATGTACAAAGTCTCTTGATTTTAAAATGTTAACAATTTTAAGAATTTAAAGATAGCCTTGGCTATACAAAATGTGTCTTCAAGCCAGATTTGGCCTAGAGAACATTTCCAATATTTTTGGCCAAGAATGAAATTTCCATAACAACTTGACTCTCCTGTAAGAAAATACAATCACAGTCTAGTAGTTTGCTTAGTAGTTTATGGCTGGAGTTCAGGAAGAGGAGAGAAAAGCAAAAACACTCTATGTCAGCCTGTCTTTGCCCTCAGTGATGGAAACTTTAATTGGAGAAAAGCACACATTTCACTTTTATCCCCACCCAGGACATGGGAATGTGGGTGTCATCGTTTATTAGAAGATATTGTGGCTTTCGTAGATATTTGGATTAGAAAAATGATCTCTTAAATTTTCCAACTTTGCATTTCGATCTTTGCAAAATGAGAGAATAGTTGGTGTGTGTTTTAGGGGAAAGTAATTGCTCAGCTACTGATCTTTGAACTAAAGTGTGGCAGACATTTTTTGCACCTTTCCTCTTTCCCTTCCCTGCTGCTGACAATCTATTATAATCCATATGCTCAGCATCTATAGTGGGATGAAATTTATGTTAATGGTAAAAGTTTCTAGAGTCAATGCCTCTTCAACTCAGGAAAGCTTATGGTTGGGATGTTTTTGGAGTTGCTATTGAGTATGGCTGGGCCAGAGAGGTGGATACAGGTTTTGTGGTACCCGATGCTTACACAATTTGGAGGACACCATTAAGAAAACAATTCAGGACTTCTGCCAAGATGGAGGTGTAGGTGGAAATACTGTGCCTTCTCGCACAACCAAGTTTAAAAAGAATAAAGTTTTAGCAACAAAAACGCAGCCGAACCACAGAAAATTGAACTGTACTGAAGTTCGACAACAACAAACCATTCAGCCAGACCTGTAAGAGGGGCAGAGCCAGCAGCGGAGCGGGGTTAGGCAGAAAAGATCCACCGGACTGAGCCAGGCGCTAGACCCAGTCGTGCAGGCAGCCTTGGGCAGATCCCAGATGTGAAGTAGCAGGCCGACCCACTGAGGGCACAAGGCGGCGGGCTGATTGCGGTCACACATTCGCCTGCAGATAAACCAGGTGAAGGAGCTAGCAGTGAGACAGACCGCACAGGCCCCAGTGGCGGGAAGCAGCAGAGGGGACTGCTATTGTCCCTCTCTAACCCCGCGCCCACATACAGCATCATACACCAGCGACCTGGGTGCCACCCGCCCCGCTCCGTGAACATCTAAGGCTCCGCTCCTCATACTTAACAGGCGCGAACAGACCAAAATATGGCTCCAGGAGAACTCAAAAGCCCCAACCCCATAAATCTAAGCGAATAAGAAATTGCCAACCTATCAGATGCAGAGTTCAAAACACTGGTGATCAGGATGCTCACAGAACTGGTTTATTTTAGTCACAAATTAGAGGAACATATGAAGGCTAAACTAATTGAAATGAAGGGAAATGCATAGGAAACCAATAGTGATGGGAAGGAAACTGGGACTCAAATCAAGGGAGTGGACCAGAAGGAAGAAAGAAATGACCCAACAGAAAAGACTGAAGAAGCAAGAATTCAAAAAAATGAGGCGAGGCTTAGGAACCTTTAGGACATCTTTAAACATTCCAACATCCGAATTATAGGGGTACCAGAAGGGGAAGAGGAACACCCACAAATGGAAAACTTATTTAAACAAATAATAAAGGAGAATTTCCCCAATCTGGCAAAGGAAATACACTTCCAGGAAATCCAGGAAGCTCAGAGAGTCCCAAAGATATTGGATCCAAGAAGGAACACACCAAGGCACATCATCATTATATTAGCCAAGATTAAAATGAAGGAGAGAATCCTAGAAGTAGCAAGAGATAAGGGGACAGTCACCTACAAAGGAGTTCCCATCAGACTGTCAGTGGATTTCTCAAAAGACACCTTACAGGCAAGAAGGAGCTGGAAAAAAGTATTCCAAGTCATGAAATCCAAAGACCTACATCCAAGATTGCTCTATCCAGCAAAGCTTTCATTTAGAATGGAAGGGCAGATAAAGTGCTTCTCAGATAAGATCAAATTCAAGGAGTTCATCATCACCAAGCCCTTATTATATGAAATATTAAAGGGACTTATCTAAGAAAAAGAAGATAAAAATATGAACAGTGAAAGGACAGCAAACTCACAGTTATTAACAACCACATCTAAAACAAAAGCAAACTAAGCAAACAACTAGATCAGGAGCAGAGCCACAGAAATGGAGATCACATGGAGGGTTAGCAACAGGGGGAGGGGGAGAAGAGATGGGGAGAAGGTACAGAGAATAAGTACCATAGACAAGGGGAGGGCAAGAGTAGTGTGGGAAAAATAGAATCTAAAGAACTTATGACACACGGACATGAACTAAAGGGAGGAATGTGGGTAGGAGGGGATGTGCAGGGTGGAGGGGAATGAGGGGGGAAATGGGACAAGTGTAATGGTATAATCAATAAAATATATATTTTTAAAAAGAAAACAATTCAAAAATATCTTTGGAAAATTTCACAAAAACGATATGGCTTTGTGAACACACAGGGGACAGTGCAAAGGAAGGACCTTTATATTCAAGCCTCATTAACACCATTGTTATCTGCCTTTTCTGACCCTACTGTGGGCAAAGGGCTTGCCACGCCTCACCTCCTGTCCCCACAACACCCCTCTACGATATAGTTATTACCTCCTATATACTTAATAGCCACGTGAAAACACAAATATGTTAAATACGCTTCTTCCTCTCCACATCCCCACACTCCTTTCCACGACCTAAATCCTGGGCGCTGGAGGAGTGGCACCATGTCAGGATCACCTGGGGAAGATCAAGAGGAATGAAAGTATGTAAAACGCAGTCATTAAGTTGGAGAGTCTGCCTCCAACAGGATTCCAGCAAATCCAGGAGAGACAGACTCCTGCAGCCAGGCGCCCGAGGCTCGCGTCTCTACGTACCTCCCACCCCGCCCCGCCTGCGTCTACGCTTGCTCCCTAGTGCGCATGCTCCCTGCTGGCAGCGTTGGTGACCGGGTCTTAAGGGCGCCGCGCGGCGGAGGGGGTGGGCCAAGCTGTGACTGCTGAGACCCAGAGCTTGGTGGCTGCAGTGGGGCGCTGTTCGCAGTTGCTAAAAGGTGGTCTGTGGTGGCCAACCCTGCGTGCGCCCGCTCGTGCTCGGTCTGTCCCCAGGGCCCTCTGGAAGTGACTTGGGTGGGCCTGGCCGAGTGGCCAGGTTGCAGCTTGGGAGGGTGGAGATGAGGCTATGAGAAGTAGAGCCACCACAGCCTGTCTCCGCCTGCGGCAGCCGTAGCGGGACTGGGGTGGGGGCGAGCCCAGTCGTACCCCGAGGAACTACGAACTCAGACAAAGGAAAAGGAGCAGCCCGAGGCTCGACCGGCGCCTCTTGGAAAGAAAGCAGCCTCAGTCCCAGTCCGCGTCTCCCAGGCTCAGGGGCTCCCGAGCTTCCTCTGCGGACGCAGCGCAGGGCAAGGCCACCCGGGCGAGGAAACCGCCCCCGGAGCCCCCGCCCGCCCGCCGGCGCCGCCTCCGAGCCGCCTCGGCCGTAGCTGCGGCCCAGGCGGGAGGCGGCGGCGGCCGGCGAGGCAAGGCGAGGCGGCCCGCGCTCTGCCTGTCAGGCCACCGGCACTGCCCGGCTCGGCCCGCGGGCAGCCCTCGATGAAGAGGCGCTGCCGCTGGGGCCATGCAGCAGGCGCCGCAGCCCTACGAGTTCTTCAGCGAAGAGAACAGTCCGAAATGGCGGGGACTGTTGGTCTCGGCCCTGAGGAAGGTCAGTGCTGGTGTCCCGGCGGCCTCGGGGGCTGAGGGAAGTGCAGGGGCGGTTGCACTCTGTGGGCCGAGCCCGCAGCAGGCTGGCGGAGTGCCTGGCCCGCAGCCCCTCCGACGTTCTAACGGGGAGCGGCGGGTCTCAGTCCCGTGGGCCAAGCTGTTTTTTTCTTGCGACTTCTAGCGACAGGGGGTCTCATGATTGCCTGTTGCATCCAATAGGACGTTTTCTCAAGGTTGGGTTGTTTGTTTTTTTTCTTTTCTGGCTGGGCCCAGAAGGAGGGTTTTGTTATGATCATAAAACTGAATTTGATGTTGCAGTCATTTCGTCAGGCAACTTCCGCCGTTGACCAATTTGTTGTCCTCAAGGCTGGCTGGGGTCTAAATACCAGTCCCGCTGGTATTTAGAGTTTCTAAAGCAAAAGCACATTGTCAAGCTCGGTGATTACTTTAAATCAAGTTCTCTGGGGGTGTTCTTCTAGGCGATTTGCTTGTGAAGGGCCTCTACTCGCTTAAAAGGTAGTACTTTTTTGTAACATACATGTGTTTGACATGTGCGAAATGTCAGTGAGTGATCCTCTCCCATTTACATTATTTGAGGTAACTAAAGTACCTCTTCACTTCTTGCAAAAGGTGTCCTTGTTTACAAGAGATTTCCCCTATAAAATTTGGTCAGATTCTCTGGTGAGTGCAATTTAGAACTTAGAACCATTTTAAGAGGACAAAAATATAACTCATAAAAAAATCTTTTAAGTTGGGTGCATCGCTAGGGTGCATCTCTCCTGCAGATGCTGTCAGTCTTCCTCAGTGAATTCGGGTAATAATCATACTCTCATGTTTATAATTAACACTTTTGTAAGGTCAAGACAAATTTAAAGACTTTGAGTGCAGGGTATGTCATGCCCTCTGAACATGGTCTTTCTATGCCATCCATGCATACTTAGTGCCTTCTGCCTTTTGTGCAAAATAAGCAAGAATACATTTTAAAATAATAAAGAGAAGTAAACATTTAAAAGATTACACTCGAACATTAAATCTTTATGCGTTAAATTTCTATAAATGAAAGGTGATACATTTTAAAGGTAAAACCATTGTCCTCATGCATTCAGAGTTTCAGATTTTCCATTCTTCACATAATTCTTACAAGGAGATATCCCCCCTTGGGCCAAGTCATGTCTTTTTGAAGAACTTAATGGAAGTGACTAAGGGCCGGCAGCTGACAGCTATTATTTCACTGGTACACTAGGTGTTAAGGTATTAAATTGACCTTCCTTCCATGGGCAGCCCTATTCTATAAGGAGAGGGAAAGAAATGGAAAGTGTGCTGAGTGGTGACTATGAACTCTGGCCTTCTTTTCCTTTGCAAAAGAAGGAGATGTTTAGATAGTAAATGACCCTTCAGCCAGACAGAGTGTGAATGCAATTATCCAGTAGGTCTGTATTATTGGCTCTGTGATGTAGGTGTCTACCTATTAGTATTTTCCGGTAGCAAATAGTATTTGAGTATGTGTTGTATAATTTATTCAGTAGGTAGCTTTGACCCTAATAATCTTTAATGCACAGATACAAATTTATTTCTTCAGGTTAGGCTGGAAACAAAGCCAGGACTAGCATCCAATCCTAGTCCATTGCTTGGAGAGTATTATGTTGCACTTGTGTGCTATTCTTGTTTTTCTGGAACTCAGGTGCTATGTAGATCTGTATTGTCTTATTCCACAGTTTTTGTATATCCTTTTGTATATCCTAGAAGATTTGGTCTTTTGAGGTAAATTAAAAAAAAACCAATTTCTATTTAACTTATTAATTTGTTATTATACAATTGAGGTATAGCCCCATAGAAGACTGATTTTTTAAATTTTTTGGTGTTAGTAATTTGAATGATGTCTAGTTTTGTGGTATTTGTGGTATTGCAACATGTAGGTTTACAGTGCCTGCTAAGAGTTGTAATTCCTAAGCAGCTCAAGGTTCACTCTTTCTTTGCTGGATGTCTTAAATTCTGGTATGTACCTGCCACCCATGTCTTTGCACAATGAGAATTCCTGCCATTTCTGGAGAGGCTCTGTCTTCATAAGTATGTGGAATTTGGCTTCCTTCCTCCAGCTGACCAGATAGTTACAAACACTACTGCCTTTAGTATTAGAAGCAGCAATAGACTAATAGGATTTTTCTTCTCCAGTTTGTGCTGCTGTTGAACATGTGGTATACTCTACCTTCATTTAACAGTTGTTGAAAACATTTTAGGTACTTGGCACCATACTGGATCCTAAGAATACAAAGATGAGTAAAAGCAAAGGCCCTGATCTGAAGGTATTTACCATCTAGGACCAAATTTTAAACTTTGAGGTTTTGGTTTATATAAGTGAGAGCAATTATGAGCTCAGAGTTCTGTAAGGAACATCTATATGTGTGTATGAGAGGAGCAATGTAGTTTTTTTTTTTAATCCTTTTTTTTTTTTTTTTGCTTTTTAAATATTTGCTTTTTTTTTTTTTTTTTTACTTGGACTTTTCTCAGAAGCAGTGTAGTTTAATTGGCTCTATTAGGGTAGTCCACATGGGTTTCTTGGTGTAAACTCTAGAGCTGTTAAAATACAGTTTTGAGAAAGATTAAATCTTGATACTCACCAGATACAGGAGGGAGGAGGGGAGCAAAAAGTTGTTCATATGGAAAATAATACAATAATTCATAAATAATAAGAATAAAGTTTTGTGTACTCACAACTGTAAATCTACTCTTGTCCCACCCTGTGTAAATGAACATGTCAGTGATTTTGATTCAGCTCATTACTTAATGAAGAAATGTATAAGATGTTAAAGCCACTTTATCTGAAAATTTGAGGAGGTAGGTATTTATAGGCGATTTAATAAAGGAATATTGAGGTAAGATCATTGGTTTAAACACAATTAGTTAATATCCTACAGAAACATAAACAGTAAGTTCTCAGTTATCTTTCCACTGATTAGCATGTGCATCTGTACTCGGCAAAAAAAGTCTCTAAATTAATCTTATAGATTTGTAAAAGAGCCCAATGAAAAGATAGAGAGCATTCAAAGAATTAAGCCAGCCCTGGCTGGTGGATTGAGTCCTGGCCTGTGAACCCAAATGTTGCCTGTTTGATTCCCAGTCAGGGCACATGCCTGGGTTGCAAGCCTGGTCTCCAGCTGAGAGCATGTAAGAGGTAACCAAGGTTCAAACATAGCACTGCACTGAAGAACACCTAGTAATTTCTTTTGTTTATTTTCAAATTTTTGCTAATATTTGTGAAAACCAAAAAAGTGTGTGAGTGTGTGTGTATTTGGCAAAGTCTCCATTGTTGACTTTGAAATTGCAAGGGATTTTTTTAAACCAACATTAATCATTCATTTCATTATGTAGAACCGTGAACACTGATGGGAAAATAACTTTGGAAATAGAAATGTGTTCTTTAACTTTTTGTTTTGTTTCATTTTTGTTTTTTAACTTTTGAGACAGAAATTTACCTTGAACATTTACAAACGTACAGAACTACAAAAGGGTAAAACAGAGAAAATGATACTAGTGGATAAATACATGCATTGTTAACATTACTGCTAAATTATGCATCCTACCTAAAAGAGCCAGAAACATAAATGCCTTCAACACTAATCCCCAGGAACATTGATGCTATCTATCATATTACTTGGGTGAAAAAAGAGCATGGGATATGTATTTGCAAATGCAGCTTATTACCTGTGTATTTGAAATGCCTTTCATACTTTGTGTATATGCTATTTGATTGTATGCTGAGGAAAGTCAGTGTAAGTAATTTACATGTGGGAAACATATCTTAATGTCATTTTATCAGGTTTCTTAGTCCCAGTTATTTCCCTTGTAGATATCTTTTCTGTACAGTGTTCTTCAGCAGGCTAGCTGAGGAAAAGAAATTATCTGTTGACCTACTTAACTCTCTGTCTATCTGTAGTTAAAGGTGTCAGAGAGCTGGAAAGAATTCCAGCCATTAGTTTGCCCTTAGATATTTGTCTAAAATTTAAGAGGTGTGAGAGAATGCCTGAGTTAATTAGTAGCAGGCAAGGAAAAAGAGGGCTGGGAGTTTCAGTTTCAGAAATCCGAAAGATTCTAGTGTTTCTGCCTTTGTACTGTTGTCTCTTGGAAGTGTTTTAGAAGATTGCATTGGATTTTTCCTGGGGCCTAGAAGAAAAGTATGGGGCTTTGAGAAAATAAAATTAATGTCACTGACATGAGAAGGTCCAGTAACATTGTGCTGAGTTCTAGATGATGTATTCAGATACTTATAGAATGCCTCCTATATGTGCCAGGCACTATTCTTGAAACTGGTTGTAGCAAGGCCCCTGCTCTCATAATGCCTTCATTCTAAATAGCTGTGACAGAGAGGCCTGAAAAAGATAGAAAATAAAGGTGTAAATAATTATTTGAAAGATCAACAGAAATTAAAGCAAAGGAAGGAGGAGAAAGGGTTTATGGCCAAGAGAAAGGTAGGAACATGACTTGTTTTAAAGAACAAGATCAAGTCAAAAAGAAGGGGATGAAGCTAGCTTGGGAGGTTATAGGTAGACCAGGTTAAGGAAGTGTCCTGTAGAGTTATTTATTCTATTATTCTATTTATTTATTATTTATTTAAAGTAATTCTTCAAAGTAATTT